CAAGGTCAGTCAAGACTCCTCCTGAATATTCTCCTACTAGATGTCTTTCCCTACACTTTCTTGTTCTTTCTCGTTCTCACTCTCTCTCTAAAATTCTATCCTGTAGACAGAGCAAGTTCTTGCTTAATTTTTTTAGCACTGATCAATTGCTACAGAATGTTTCATTGACATTCATATTTACCAAAAAATATTGTATTTTACATTTATTTATTTAGTTCTAATATATAATCTTTTTTTTTACAAGTTTTGTTTTTGCAGAAAAGCAGTTTTTACTATTTCACAGGTCGGCTGCTAGGTAGGGCGCGTTACTTGGGCACACATTTTCACAAGCTTTGATGCGGTATGGTATTCCATAGCTTAATATTCATTCTAGGTTTAACTATTCGGCATTAGGAATCGTTGCTACAAAATGGAAATCAAACTTTGAAGGCAAACTCTTGATTTCTAATAAGTATTCTGGTAAATATAAATATGATCTACGGACTAGAATTTTCCGAACATTGGTGTCGTATAAAAGGGAACCTTTTTCTCATTTGTAAAACATCTGAACATCGCTGCGTTGATCTATTTGGGGTTATTATTCTGGAGCATTTCTCTATCTCAAAGTGTGATGAGGAACAGTTGCTTTATGCTTTTAAAGTTGGTGAGTTTATTCATTATTATTTATCAATTTCATTTTTCAGAATTTTCTTCGGGAGAAAACCCAATTGTTCTTTTGGCAAGATCAGATGAAGAAAGAGAAGCTTGGATTCGTCACATAAATTCCGCCGGCCTTTCTGCCATATCGCGCAGGCTAATTACGCTTAGAAAGGAACTACGATCTTCGATCGGACTTCATTCTTCAGCCAACGAATTTTCTGAATTTTCAAAATTTTCGAATCTCTCACTTCTTGGTATGTTTATTCGTGTTTCTTGTTTCACTACATTCAGATACATCGCGTTTCTATTTTAGTATATTGGGATTTTATGTTTATTTTTTTGTTTTATCTAATTTGGAGGCTATGTATTTCATTTTAGAAACTCAAAGTTCTAACGGCGACTTCTCACTTGTCGTGTGTAAGCTCTTAATTTTTACAACATCCCATTTTGCGTTCATATGAAATAATTTACATAAAGAACTTTCCATTTGAATTCTCTTGCCTGATAATGCTTGTTTTTATTTTTTGATTAGCCCTTTTTTCATCTCATAATCTTTCTGATCAATTCGATTCTCTGCCGGGGACACGATTTTCCATCTTCATTTACATTCGGAATGCGTATCAAAATTCCTGGAAGCACATATCTTGTACACCTCTCGTTGATGTCAGTTTATTTCATTTTTATTTTGTTAGGTATTTTACTATTTATGAGATCATTATTTCCCTAAATCACATGAATTTACTCACATCTTACTTTTAGCCTTGTATGTTTTAAATCCATTTTTGATTTTGTGGTCTTGGCAAAATGACGTCTCTCACGGTCGTTGGATGTATTTTTTAGAGTTATACCATAACCTTCTTTTTCTCGGCTTTTTTACTTAGATTAGTTCTTTTCATGAGTAACACATACACGAGCTTGTATCAAATCAACCTCTACTTTAATGTTCTTGTTATAATTGCCTCTTAACGGTCTTCTCAGTTAATTTTTATTTAAGTCTCAGCAATTTCGTCACGTTTTCCCATTTTACTGTTCCGATATCACTTATATAGAATATAAGTTATCGAAATTTTTATGCTGGTCTCTTGATTCATTGTACATTTGA